CTAATTGCTTACATTTTTTTTATTTTCTAAATAAAACCTTTTATTTTTGTCATTTTGAGTACTTTCTTCATTTTTTTTTCTAAATAAACACCCCCTCCCAAAAATAATTAGAGAAAACCCTATTAGCTAATATTTCACTCATGTGATATTTTTATAATTCTAAAATTACCATTAGTTGTCTATTATATACTTTCAAAACCCTAATCTTATGTTTAATTTTTCATTCCGCCGCTTTTACGTTTCCTATTTTTGTCTCTTTTCTGTTTTTTTCCTATGTTTTTTTTTTCCTCTGTTTTTTCCCGCAATCTTCTCTGTCGCCGTCGCCGGAAGATGGAGAAAGAAAGAAGAGGAAGCACCCATCTCACATTATAAATGATTTTGATAGCGATTCTGAATTCGAATGCCAGGATTGCTACATCGGCGGCGAAAAGAGATAAAATTGTCGATTTTTCTCCTAATTTCTTCTTATTCCCCATTGAAATCGCCACCACCACTAGCTCCGGCAGTCACCTCTTCACGCCGGCACCTCCGTCGGCCCCACCTCTTTCCTTCCACAACATGTCTCCTCCACTCTTCTTGTCGCAAAAACCTACCACAACCAACTTCACCTCGCTGCGCCTCCCATTCCACCTTCCGCTTGCACCAGAGTTTCCTCCTCTCCGCTGTCGCCTACGGCGGCGAGGAGCTGCAGAAATTAGCGGTTGGTGAGTTTTGTCGGAACTCGGAAGTGAGTTTGCAGGTGGATTTGAGAAAAATTAACGAAGAGGAGAGGTGTTTGGCGCCCCACAAACCCGATTATGCCGTGAGAGAGTGGTGTGTATATTGCCGCACAGAGTGGTGGCGGTTTGGTGTCCCCAGCCGTGGACAAATGGTGCGGAACGGTGGTGGTTTTATTTGAGAATATTTAATTTATTACTTATTAAAAAAAGAAAAAAGGAAAAAAAGAAAAAAAGAAAAAAATAAGTTGGGGGCAATTTTGTCATTTCCTGCAACAAAAGGAAAAAAAATTGCAGAAACTGCGCGTGAGACACACGATTTGCGACCAGGGGGATTTTCGCCTTTGACTAATAAATACTGGGGGTTATTTGCTAATTTTTTTATGATAGGCGGGAAACACGCAGTTGCGATTTTCACAGGGTAGTAATTGCAATA